CCCATATATCTGCTGCTACTGTCTGTCTAGATAGTAATGGCAGTGGGCTTGGAAGGTACAAAGAGACTTGGTGAATTTCTGCAGTGCATCTTGTAGATGGTACACACTGCTGCTGTTGGGTGTCAGTAGTGGAGTAGTGAATGGTTGTGGATGTGGTGGCAATCAACAGGCTGCTTTGTCCTGGATTGTGTCAAGCTTCTTGATTGTTGTTTAGAGCTGCACCCATCCAGTCAAGTGGGGAGTATTCCATTACACTCCTGACTTGTGCTTTGTAGATGGCAGACAGGCTTTGGGGAGTCAGGAAGTGTTACTCGTTATAGAATTCTTAACTTCTGGCCTGCTGTTCTAGCCACGGTACCCACATCCTGTTCAATTCTGATTAGCAGTAACCCCCAGGATGTTGTTAGTACACATTTCAGTGATAACAAGACAAAAGTCTTAGCGTGAGGCCCCATCCTTTGCTGACCCTCAGTTAACTAGTTTGCTGGTTCATGCTGTTTTCATGGCTTCCAAAACCTTTGCCTGCTATGATCCCATTTTAATGTTTCAAGGTTGATGTGACCTCGGTGTGAAAGTTGGTTTAGGGGAATGTAGGGAGCAGCAGGAAAGGAGAGTTGTTAATCAAGGGTGGAGGGGTTTTGAGCAGGAGGGTGTTCAAATGTCGACCGGGTGCAGCCATACAGAAAGGAAATAGGATTGCAAACGTTTTGCGGGTTTTGTTGCTGGAAGCAATCAGACCTCAAGTTCATCTCAAATTCACCTCACAAAATAATAGTGCAATTGCATTTAAAGGGCCTTTGAAGCTGATCCCTGTACTGTCGGAACTGAATCTCCACTCCACAACCACCATTGCTATCACTGCATTCATGTCCCCAGTTGTTCATTCTGTGACCCATTGAGGGTTGTGACCTGTTCATATATGAGTGGCCACTCAGTTAGAAACAATAGAACCTTATTCTATTGCTTAAAGAGAGGAGGAAAGTCAAAGACAATTAATTTTAAAAATTCTCTTGTCTACATCACCACATTTTAACAATCTGTTGAAGGGTTTATTGCAATACCTGTAGAACACTGCCTTACAGTTGCAAAATTCAGTGACAAATGGTTTTAAATATGAACTTGTAAAAACATAAAAGGATTAATTCCTTCTAATAAAACCACCAAATTCCCTCAAGGTCCAGACTTTTGTAAGGCGCAAAAGACGCATTCTCCACCACTTCACATGATTCCTACAAAATTCCCTAACCCTGTAGCAGTCGATATATCCTTTGGCTGAGGTGTATTTGGCCCAGGTGCTGTCTGGTAACTGACAGTAAGCAAGCAGAGGAGTATACAAAAGAGAAGCTGAGAGTCAAACAGTAATGATTAATCGTGGAATGCAACAAGCCTGAACTGGTATGGCTGCAAAAGCCCTGGGGAAATCTGCACACTAATGTTAGTGGGCTTCAACCAATCTGCTCAAGCTACCAGTCATTTTCATATTTATTCACTTCTGCTTGTTCTTGCATGCATTGTTTTCCCTTTTTTTCTTTTTCTTTTGACCTTTTAACAACTTGCCTTTTTTCTTTTTTTCTCTTTTTAACCTCTGAATCGATTTAGCATTCTGTTCTCAAAATGTATGTTTTTTTTGTTGCAGTTACACCAGTGTGTTTCTGAAGATGACAGTATAGGAAATGGCAATAACTGACAATTAAACCTATTCGTCATTTGGGAGTTGAAACAAAATAGAAATATAGAAACATTGTCAAACCTAGTCATCAAATTTCAATTGCTGCTGTGAGTCAAGAAGTCTACTAAAATGAATATCTTTTAAAAATTGATGACATGCTATACAGAGCTAATCACTGTGCTGTAATATCTGCATTTTGCTCAGCCCTGGGAATTTGCTGCTCCCTGTTCCAAGGAAACAGGATACCCACTTCATCAAATTCAACTCCAGTCTCATGCATTTTCCCATCCATACTTCAGTTCTGACTCCTGTGGTTCCTGACTCGGTGTTACATTTCTCACCTGGCTGCTCAGTTCCCTTCACTCCAGTTGCTGGAGAAACAACCCATGTGGTGTTGCTCACAGGGAGTCTGGATTTCAATCATTAGCATTGCAGCTGAATGGCAGTTGGAGTGAATGGAACTGAGCAGCCAGGTGAGAAATGTAACACTGAATCGGGAACCACAGGGTTCTGTCAAAATGGTGAATAAAAATAGGTTGTACAGCAAGCTCAAGAGCCAGAATTGCCTACTCCTCCTGTTTCTTACCTCTTGAGAGAAACCTCTGAGGAAAAAAATGCCTCCATATGTTGTAAATGAATGTCCCCTTTATTTTTAAATGGTGAACACGCCCTCTGGTTCTGGATTCTCCCTTTAATAGGAAACATCCTCTCCACATCTACTCAATAAAGACCCCTCAGGATCTTATATGTTTCAATCAAATGATTGGCACCGCACTCACTCCTTCCACCACTGACGCTCAGTAGCAGCAGTGTGTACTACCTATGAGATGCACTGCAGAAATTCACCCAAAGATCCTTATATAGCACCTGCAAAACCCATAGCCACTACTGTCTAGAAGGGCAAGGGCAGCAGACATGTGGGACATCCATTACTTCCAAGTTTCCCCTTCAAGCCACTCACCATTCAGACTTAGAAATATATTGTTGTTCCTTTATAGTCACTGGGTCAAAGTCCTGGAGTTCCCTCCCTAAAGGTACTGTGAGTGTACCTACAGCACATCGCCTACAGTGGTTCAAGAAGGTAGCTCATCACCACCTTCTCAAGGGCAGCTAAGGCTGGGCAATAAATGCTGGCCCAACCAGTGATGCCCACATCTCACAAGTGAATGTTCTTACATACTTAGTTCTAAATGGTGACTTTCTTCGTATTACTTTAATTTCCCTGGGTTTCATTCTATTAGGTTTTTCTCTGTCACAGGATCAGATTGGGATGAAAGCAGGTCTTATAAACTGCAAGTCCTGTATATTAATTGTACAAGCAATTCTGTTAGATTTTTAAATTTTATATTCTAGTGTGTTTGCCACCTGACACCCCCACCACCTGTCAACATCTATCTTTCCTCACAGCTCCACAATGTATTGATGGCTATTAACCTCAATAAGGGCATTTGTGGCTGCACTCTGGAGGAACCTCTTCATCCAGGGCAGCTGAGAGCTGATACAGGGAAAGAATAATACGAATGATATAACTTTGTGTGATTTTAGTATGATATATTCTGGAGGTACTGACAAATCAAGTTGGTACTCTTTAAGGTGAAAAGTTTTTTTCCAGAGATTTCGTTGTTTTGCTGTTCTCCTTGCTAAATGTTTTGTTAATTTTTGTAACTGCTTTAGTATATATTTATTGATTATCTTCCTTCCTGATTTTGGATGTGCTTCGTTGCTGTTTTATGAAGATTGCATTTGGCCCTTTTAGCTGGAAATATTGCAGAGCGTTGCACTTGTGACATTGTGGCATTTTCAGGTGTGCTGAACAAGTGTTCCAAACGAGACACAGTAGATTTTAATTTGATAAAATATCGTAACCTTTGCTTTTGGGGCTCTTGTGATGCAGTTGTAGTGTCCCCACCCCAGGACTGAAGGCCCAGGTTCAAGTCCCACCTGCACCTGCATCTCTGAACAAGTTGATTAGAGAAATCAACGTTTGCTTTTGAAGAACTCTTGTGGCACAGGGATAGCAGCCCTAGCTCTGAGCTAGGAAGCCTGGGTTCAAATCCCACCTGCTCCAATAGGCGTGTAATAACATCTCTAAGTACTTAACCTTTGCTTTTGATTTCCTTCTTCCTGACCCCACCACAATCTCATGAATGAGAAGCGATTTCCTAAATGGCAGTGTGGAAAAGACTCTTGCTCATGGTGCTGTAATGAACTTGTGCAGTAAAATGAGCAGAAAAGCCAGCCCATTTTTCTTTAAATACATTTTTTGTGCTAGTGCATGTGGGAATCCAATGCATAGCACCATAGAAAATTGAGATTTGGCTTCAAATTCTGAGCTCTTAATTAAAACCGCATTGTTTTCAGATGATCCTTTTATTTGTAATATTCTGTGTGTAAAAAAAAATAAATTTCACAATTGTTAGAATTTGATATTTTCTACTTCCTTGTTTTTTTTTGGAGTTTGAATGTATGACGCATGTCTGATATGGGTCATTAAGGATGCATGGAATTTTGCTTCTATTGGGTAATCTTTTCCCATCAGGACTGCACTATTGTGAAGGAGAGTTGAGTGAGGAGGTTCCTATCATGCTAGAGGGAATTGTAATAATCATAAGGAGAAACAGCTACGACAGGGATTTGGACACCAGCAAAATTTGAAGGTTTAAGAAGATAGAATGAAGTGAATGTTTATGCAATATCATAGTTGGCTTTAAATTGTAAGAAATTGGAAAGACATTTGAGTCAGTTCAATTTTAACAAATTGGAATAAAACAAGATGGAAAGACAGATCTCGATTTCAACATGGTAACAATGCAGAAGGGGAGATAGAGAAACTATTTTATGATGCTTCATTGTATAGTTTGAGGAGGAAAATGGGAATATAGTCAGAGGATAGAAATAAAATGTTTTGGTGAGGAAAGGAAGGGGAGGAAATGTTGGGGTGGTGGAGAAGGGGATAGTGGTTGAGGAGAGACTCCATGTATTTTTCTTGTATCCTGTTTGAGCCAAAGATGTTAAAATGGTAATGGGAACAGTGCTTCCAAGGTCTGACATGACAGTACTAGGTATAATTAGGAAATGGATTGGATCCTTGTTGGATGCAATACTTGCCTAACCAGCAAGCTCTCAAACTACTCCTGGTGGTTGTGTATGTGCACTGTCTATGTACTTATGTATTGTTTACTGTATTAAACTGACTGAATTTGTGAATAGTGGTAGATTAGAAAACAGAACATTGCCAACTTGTACCTGCGATTTAATAAACCGTGTTTTATACTTCAATACATGTAACCTTTTTCTGATTTTATTTATATGTTACCTTTATCTCCCTCAGAAAGACTGCAAAATCAAAGCCAGATGAAAAGCTGCCATCGACTGAAGAGAAGAAGTTGTATCTCGAGGCAGAATACACCTCCGCCCGGGTGTCTGATGCAGATTTGCCCATGCTTGTGAGCTTGCCCAGAGAAATTGACCAGAATGAATGGTTGGCCAATAACAGTGAGTAAATTTCACTATAATGCAGAGGTTCACAACAAGAGAATGGTATGTGCATTGGAGCTTCAGAGGCAGTTTGATAGGTGTGGAATTTATTCTCCTCTGGTTTTCCCTGGTGACTTACAGACAAAAAAAAACTGTAGATGCCAGAATCCAAGGTAGACAAACAGGAGGCTGGAAGAACACAGCAAGCCAGGCAGCATCTGGAGGAAAGGAGCAGTCAATGTTTTTGGGTATTACCCTTCTTCAGGACTGGAGCACATAACATTGAGATCTCCAATTTCAAATAACCTTTCCACCCATTCCCCTTCTCCCTACCCAGCCCCACCTCTTCCCTTCCATTCCACCTTCTGACTCTCCCTTTCAACCACCAACCAGATTCATTCCTCCCATTGACCAACTAGGTTGTACCTACTACCAATGTCCACCTATCACCTCCATTCCGCCTCCACCCCTCCCCTCCTCTCTTTTTTTATCTGCAGCTCCTCCTACCCCCACATCCAGTCCTGAAGAAAGGTAATACCTGAAACGTTAACTGATCCTTTTCTCCAGATGCTGACTGGTTTGCTGTGTTCTTCCAGCCTCCTGTTTGTTTTCCTTGGTGACTTCCTAGGCTTGTTCAATCAAAGGGTGGCAGTTTGCTGAGGAGATAGAGAAGTAGGGGTAAAATTGTGTGAGATAGTCATCTTGTAATGCTCTTAAATGTGTCACAGCAACTTTTCAAGAAAGTCATCTGCAAATTTCTGAAAAAAATTCACTTGGTTTGTCTCTTTTCTTCAGGAAGTGGTGCTTTGTAAGGAGAGCTCCATAAGAGGAAAGTTAAATATGTATAGATAAAATGTTGCTTTCAGTACAAGCTAAAACTCTCATTTTGAGATATATTTATAGAATAAGCTGTGTGAAATAATAACTGTATTTGGTAAATTACAGGGCAATGGACAAGAATCTTACAGGGAGACAATGAAACTGAAATCATCTATTGATACTTTTACAGTAGAAGTCTGAGCTTTCTCACAAATTTCCAAAATGTCCAAAGTATTTTCCACTTAGTCACTTTGTTGTCTGGGTAAATGCGGAAATGTTGTGCATTGCTTTTAATGGTGTGAACAAGCAGGCAAGATATGGTGCTTCCTCAGCAACAGCCTGCAGACTGACACTCAATCTGGGTTCTGCCTGATCCTGGACTGAACATGGACAGAGGAACTTAATTCTAGAAGTGAAATGAAAGTGACTGTCCTTTTATATCAGAGCAGCATTTGACAGAGTATGACATCAAGTAGCCCAAACACAACAGTAATCAATGGGAATCAGCGATAATGCTCTGTTGTTTGAAATCATTTCTAACACAATGGAAAATGGTTGTTTTTTTTTGGGTCATGGTCCCAGGACATTATTGCAGAATATCCTCAGGGTTAGTGTTCTAACTTTGACCTTGACATGGGTGTAACCAGCTGTAGTCAAATTGTGACACCTAAAGGACTTCTAACCCATGTTATACTCCACAAAAGTAGACCTCTGTATGCTGTTTGTGATATGTACAAATTATTATCGGTGTTAAACACTAATAACTTCCCAGCAGGTTGTTCTTCTATACATCATCTTGTAGCTCACTTTTCTCGTTGTCACAATTATAAAATGAAACACAATAAATGAAATGTTCAAAAAAATCAAGAAAGAAATGCTACTAACATGCATCACATCTGCTGGTGTCTTAGAAATATTGTAAGTTAATGTTCCAGAAGTACAGCCTGCAACCATTTCTGATGGGAGATCATTATGAAACAAATCTGTCTTGTTTGTTTCATGTGGTGACTGACTTGCTGTGAGTTCACAGGTGTTTGTATCCTCCTTTCACTTTCTCTTTGTTTTCTTTTTCACAAGCAATGTCTTTACTTTCACATATATGGCTCTCACGCACTTGTGGTGAGCAGGGCACTGACTTAATGTGACTGAATGAGGCAATTCTTGTTTTTATTAATCTGATGATAGGGATATTTTGGACAATGCGTTCCACTGTCATACGTGTATTGTGGATGAACCACAGCCTTGACTGAGTCACTGGAGGGCTCAGTAAGAGAATAACTGGTTTTTCTGTTGTGAAATCTGTTCAAGTAATGCATTCTTTCCTCAATGATGGTACACTAATCAAGAACTGAACTGGAAACTCTCTGCTCCTTCCTTCAGGCAGAGAAGCCATTAAAGTGGAGTATTGATTTTCCATTCTATTGTTTTGTACCATCATGAACACTCCCATTAAAGACTTGTTGTGCTTCATTCTTGACTGCAACATAATAATTCAAATTAATCTCCAATAGATTCTGTGGACTGAATCCACGGAGTTGTCAGTATCCATTGTAAATCTTCCTGCAGACCCGGAGCACCTTCAGATAGCCCGGAAAATTATTAATGGTACAACAATCGACCTTGTGCTCCTTGGACGGCTTACTGGGTTATAAATACTTTACACGGTGTGGCACTGAGGCAATCCGACCAGGAGATGCCAAGATCTGATTCTCCGGCTTTGTAAAGTTAGTTGATGTCAGCCTGGCTGATGGTAAAGATTGATTTCAGCACCTGTTGTTTTAGGAAGAAGAACTGTGCTGGACTTCAAAAGAGGGTAATATCCAGGCTGGCTGTGATTTCCTATTGGGTTGAAATGTTCACTGACACTCTAGAATCACGTGTAAGATGCAGTACTAAGGGGTGTACATGCCCATGAGCCATATTCCTAAAAGAAAATGGGGGTGGGGAGTGCACCGTCATTGAGAGGAAGAAGGTAAAGCAAGAATTTTGTTACTACAGAAATTAATTTTAAGATGTAACGTTGTCTCACATATATGTGCCTAATTATTTTTGTTTTGATAGCAATGACATTCTTCAATCACATAAATCTGCAGTACAGTGCTATCTCTGAATTCTGCACAGCAGAAAGCTGTCCTGTGATGAATGCGTGTAATGTGTAAGTATTTGCTAGTGTTTTATGCTATCTATTTTGATGTACTTAAGTTTATTTTATATAGAACAACTCCCTACAAGAACTTGATTTGCTAATGTGTCATCTTTAAGAAACATACAACAGTTAAAATCACAGATGAGTCTATTCATCACCCAGCTCTACAGAGTACACAGAGAAGAAATGTGACAGTCAGATCCATTTCCACATAAAGAATGAGAGAATTAAAGGGAAAAATCAATCGATAAGGTTTAGTTTACCCAACTCATTTCACATAAAGCTCACAGAGAGGAGGGAGATCCCAGAGGTGAAAAGATTATGCTTGGAGAACAGCACTCAGTTTGTGAGATTTTATTGTCGAGTTTGGTGGTGGCATCACAGAGTTGGATTCGAGTATATAGTGAAAGAACCTCAGCCAAGACGGGAATTGAACACATGCATCACAAACCAGCTGTCCAGTCAATTGAAATAGCCTTGACTGACCTCAAGAATTAAATAGTCCTGCAAGCATAACAAATTTATTCTGTTAATCCAAATGGGAATAAGGCCAATGCAGCACCTTTTCATCTGTCTAGTCATTAATGATGTACAATTAAATTCTGTGCGGAAAGAATTGGAAATTCTCATTTCCCCCAAATATTTGTGGATGCTGGGTTATTAGAAATGTTTCAAGAGTACAGTTGGCAGTTCTTTACTAGCTAGGGGTATCAAAAGATTTAGACCGAATGCAGCTAAATGTAGTCAAGGTACAGATGAGCTCTGATTTGATCAAGTGGATGGATTGTACAATCAAGAACAGGAGTAGGCCTCTCGGCACTTCAAGCCTACCCTACCATTCAGTAAGTTCATGGTTGATCTGATTTTGACCTTAACGCTACATTCTTGCATATCCCTGATAATCTTTCATCTCCTCGGTAATTGAGAATCAGTCGACCTCCATCTTAAAAATGTTTAAAAATTTGGCATCCACTGCCTTTTGAGGAAGAGAATTGCAAAGACTCACAACCGTCTGAGGGAAAAAATGTTTCCTCACTATCTCAAATGGGCAATCCTTTATTTTTGACCCCAGTTTAAATCCTTCATTCTAGATTCTCCCACAAGAGGATGTATCCTTTTGACATCCAACCAGTCAAATCCCCTCAGGATTCTTGTATGTTTCAATTAAATCACCTCTGGCTCTTCTAAAGGCTAGAAGATATGGGTCTGCCTGTCTAACTTTTCCTTATAAGGCAATCTGCTCATTCCATGTATTGGAACAGGCTCCAGGGACTGAATGGGCTACTCTCCTGTGTTCCTAAATATGCTGGGATTGGATAGGATAGAGTTTGTTTCAATGGCCTTTATTGTTGAGTAGATTGCAGATCGTCAGAGATCTTGGCCACACAGATATGTTGTAAGATTCCATGTTGCTTATCCTGTCTCCTATAATCTGTTTGATTGTTGCAGTCAATACTTTTGGATAGATGAACGAGGGAAGAAAATAAAGTGTACTGCACCACAGTACGTTGACCTAGTGATGACGCACATCCAAAAACTATTGACTGATGAGGAAATTTTCCCTACCAAGTATGGTGAGTTTTTCAAATGTATTTAAGAAATGTTTGGCGTGTGTGACAAGATATCTGCCTGTTGCAAACAAGTCTGCTTACACAAACCTACAATCTTTGTAAACGAATTGGTGCAAATTTGACTTTTACTCTCTGACTTTCATTCCCAAAATGATTACTTGGCAAATGAATACTATAACAATCTGTCTGAACCTAGACATACATGGTGTATTAGTGACCTTTGTAATGATTAACCTCAGTTACTGATGTTGGATCAGTGACTTATGAGAAGTCCAAAATTTACTGTTTTAACCAGCTGAAGCTACTATTTGTTCACATCGACTGAAAAGAGGATAAATTCTACGTTGTTTTCTTCCTCATACAACAATTGAATGCTGGACAAAATTTTGAAAATTCTCACCCCTGTCATTAATCTGTTTTGTGTCCATGCTTATTATTGTCCAGGTATACATAGAGTCATTGCTCTTGCGAAGTTGACTGATCTCCCATTTTATCAACAGGTAAAGACTTCCCGAGTACCTTTGAATCACTAGTCCAGAAGATCTGCCGCTACCTCTTCCATGTTCTTGCTCATATCTACTATGCTCACTTCAAGGAAGTTGTGGCCCTTGAACTGTATCCACATCTCAATACCGTGTACACGCACTTTCTGATCTTTGTCAGGGAGTTTAATCTCATCGACCCCAAGGAAACGGCTGTGATGAGGGACTTAACAGATGTTCTCCTCTGTGGCACACCGCAGCCCCAGAACCACGTGAACCACAGATGAACCAGGCAGCCCGTGCATATCATGGATATTAGAAATATTTTCTTTAGTGGAAAGAATAATAACTTAAGGAATCATGTTGCCCATGGCAACGTTGAAGAAATATGTGACCAACAAATCAGTGATACCAAGTGGCCCAAAGTGGTGACTGTGTTGAACCCCCTACCCATACAGCAGTAATCTTTTCTGAGAGCCTCACTGACTATCAACTTTTATGTAATGACATTGTGTCAGTTTGCTCCCCCAACCCCCAAGCCCACCGACTCCAGATCCCCAGTAATGGCAAGTCATGAGTTTTTTCACTTCTGCAGAAGATTCCCATAACTTGCTTGCTGCCAGTTATGGATCTGTTAGTGTTCATGAAATAACTGACACTACACATTGACATGCCTGAAGTATCCATTTAGGTCCTCCCTTACCACTCTCTAGTTTGTCATGGCCAGTGCCCTGAATACCACAATTGTGCAGGTAGAGCAATGAGATCAGAAAGTTCCTTCGTGAAATACCTTTATGACTGACGGGATAGAACAGATAAAAGCTTCTGTAGTATACATGTAGGTTTTTTATTGCTTTTATTTGTTGACAATTACTGAAGTATACTTGTAAACAAGCTAGAGATGGTTTTTGCTTTACAGGGCCTGTTGCTCCTTTCTCCTTTCTCCACTGCTCCCCTTTTTCTAGTTATATCATTAGTTGGTGCCAACAAATCGGCTTTATTGAAAATAACCCACATTTAATGATCTTAGTGGGCCAGATGTTCCTTCATGGCCTGCAATTTGTTTTATATCTTGCATGCATTCTTTGAGTTATTGGTGAGCTTAGAAGTAGCCCTGAGCTCACATGACCTGGAGGGAGAAAAGCACCCATGGCAATTGAATGTTCCATAAAAGTGGTAAATATTTGACTCATGCAGGCATTGGGTTTTTCTGCTCACTAGATGAAAGGAACCCATGCTGGGGAACAGAACACTTTCCATTGTCAGCTCAGGGTACACGATAATAGCATGTACTTGTTGCAGAGTAATGTCCCCGCTCTCCTGTTTTAATAACGTGCTTCAGCCCAGCCTTGGGAAAAACTACACCAATATGGCATTTCTCCATTTTCCACAGAGCACGATTACTAGGCAGGATCGAATTAGGGCTCGTTTGCACTATAGTCCGTGTTCATGGGGTGGGATGAAGACTACTATAAATTCTAATTCTTTAATTTCAGCATTAATGTATTACACTACTGACTTGGTGTGGTAGGGTAGGTGAAAATATTTCCACAGATGATGTTAGAATTGTGGATGTGAATCACCACCTTGTGCCTATGGGTTTAAATCATCTTGTTATTTATCTGAGTTTTACTGCGCCTTGCCTTTTGGAGCCAATTTAAGTTTTAGTATGGTAGGATGAAAACAGCATCACAGATGAAAGTTCTAGCTCACTCTCTCTTCTGGTAGCAACGAGATTGTATAGTTTGGAAGATGGTAGGAAATGTGATTAATGGAAAACAGTGGTCTAAGTTGTGAAACCATTTAGACTGTGGCTCTTCTCCCTTTTTCACTGCTCCATTAATATTTTTAATCTTCTATATTGGGATATGACCACAAGACTAACTGAATAAAACACATCCACTGGCCTGCCAGTGTTTTCCTCCTGAGATACCATGAAACTTCTGACATTAAAGAAACATTGGGTCATGTGAGGTTTCCTCAAGATCTTGGCATTTGTCCTGTATTTTTCTGAGATTTTTAATTCTGAAGCCAATTTAAGAATCTTTATTTGTAGTGACTGGTTAGTGTGACCTCTAATGAGGTCCCATTTATTTTCTCCTTTCACCATTATAACATCTTCGAGAGATGTTCCATTTCTTTGTTAGTTAGTGGCTGAAGATCAATTGTGGAAAGCAGAGTTAGTAAAATATCTAGTTTTTGCCTGCTAGCAATAACTCAAGTGCCTATGGATTTTTTTTTTGTCAGATATGCACTTTGAAAGTTTTCTTTTCAATGGCTATAATTTGAGTGCTTTTTTTTTCATTCTCCAGCACAGTATGAGTAGGACTATAGCCCAGTCAGGACCAATTCTTCCAGGAAAGGAAGGATTGGTTGGAAATGAGCACCTTTGACCATTAGCAAATCAGTTCTGATGTCAGCTACCTCTGTTTTGGATTTTAGAGCATAGCTGGTACACAACTTTACTTGAATTTTACAGTGAAGGCCACTGGGTTCTAAAGGAGGTAGGGGATGGGGGGGGAATACTAGTCAGATTAGGTGGCGTAATTGACACAATCTGTCAGTGAATCTGAAGTTGACTGAGTTTATGAGGTGCCAGGGTTTCTAGGTCTAATTTTTAATGACCGTAACAAGGCAATGTACTTCAATGCATTTATTAATCTATTGCTTTTGTTAACTTTTTGCTGATTTACATCACAGTTAGGTGGTCTGTGCAAAAGTTATAAAATATTTAAAAGTTTTACCAATGATTAGTGGATTTGATTTTTTTTGTTTCTACTGTCAGGTGCAAATATTATTTATTTTTGGCAGTTTGTGTTCCTTTTGTTAACTGGAGCAGAACATAGGCTGTATCAACACTGCTTAGACTGACTAGCTGGTGGCTTGGAGCACCAGATAGCACCATTGTACTTCTCCATTTAAATGCATATTCAATTTGTGGGGTCAAATTTGGCATGTTTACCCTACAGGACTCTCCGTCTCTCTGCTGAGCACTATTTTGTGAGCAAACCATAATTCAGGAATTGGTGGGCATTGCAGGTTCAGGATGATGTGGGTCTAGAGTCAGGGATAACGATACTGATTTTAATCCTGTTATGCCCAAGAGACCAACCCTATGCAGGATCTCTGGATCTTGCAAGCCTACAAAGATTGGCTCAGGACACATGTAATTGAGCATCACCCATGTGATCCTTGTCCTAATGTGAGACAGTGGCAAGCTCAAGGAGACAATTTGGAGAGGAGAGGAACTGTAAGATTTGCAGTTTCGGTAGCTACAATGCCAAATTATTTTATGTATGTGGTGGAGGGACTGAATAGTTAGAAATATGACATGTCTCGTGTCATTTATAGAAACTGTGCCTGTCTGATTGGGAGTGAGGGCTTTGCAAACCAAGGAGGCATCTCTGGTCTGAATTCATGAGAGTTGCAACTATGAATGAGTTATATTGCCTGATGCCACAGAGTTTTTTTTAACAGCCAGATTTATCACTCCCTAATGTATCCACTGTACATTGTGTTATTAAGTGCAGGACTTCCATATTACTGTTTTTGATTTTTTTTTGTATGCAAATATCTTGAGACAGGAATGTGTAGAAACGATTGGTGACAGAACTCACTGGGTGTTGTTGACCAAGTAACAGGAGTGCTGAAATGCATTAGTTACATGTACATATCAGGGTCGAAGGTTATATTGGACTGCGCTGATATGTTTGAGTGACAATGAAGCCAGTCTCTCTCTCTCTGAAGCTATGACATTCTTTTTGGGGTGGCATAGGTAGTGGTTTTTTTTTTAAAAATCCGATTATTGAGCAGATGTGTATACTTTGTAGAAGGTTCACTCCTAGGCTAGTGGACTGGAACGCGACTGCTTGACTTTTAGGGTATGAGCTTAGTCATTTGGTGTGATTACAAGGTGGAACTTACCTCATTCCAAAGAAAGCAAAAGGGGTTGGTTTTACTGCAGGGAAGACTGTTTCTCGATCTCAATGGCTGGAGTGATGGAAGAGTATTGGCAATGATTTCTTTTTGCATCATCTCATCTCTGAACTTGAATAATCTTTGCTTCTTCTGAGCTTGTGATGAGGATGCCTAAGATATTGCCAGGTATGATGCATTGAAATGATACACCAAGGCAAATTCCACCCCAGTTGTCTTGCATATGATATGATTTGATTTGATAGCTTGTAGACTTTTAGATTTTTATCACCCTTGTTAGGAGGCCTTGAGATGGGCTTGAGATGAGTGTGAATTGATAGTGTGGAGTCCTCCACTGTGAGTGCGCTCGAACACTTGCTGACAGGAAACTTACACAGAGACAGCGCCAGATCAAAAGGCATGCTTTGGCTTCAACCCATAACTGCACTGATGGTGCTAGCTTGTTGCTACGATGAGCTGTTAATTTACAGAAAGCCCAAGGTAGTCTATCAATACTGGATGTAATATAACTCTTAAGATCATACATTGCATCTCACAAGAAAACTGAAAAATAAAAAGAATAACTTTAATATTGTGTTTGGTTTCTGACATTTTTTCAGCTTTCATATTTTAAAACTTCTAATTCTATATATATGCTTGCATAATACTTAATGACTGACATTATCACGATAAAGGGTTACAGTAGAAAATCATCTAATGCTGCTTGCACTTTATGAGGAATCATCTAATTCATGGCTACAAAATCACAGGAGATTTGTTCACTTTTTTTTTCATGTTTTGAATGCAACTATCCTTCTGTATGAAGGATACTTGCTTAATAGTTGCACTTTTCTGGCAAGAAGCAAAACAAATCTTAGTCCACCTTTCCTCCTGAATATGCCATTATTTTACAGATGTCAGTCCCCTTGCGCTTCGTTTGGTCAATGGATCTTTTAAAAAGTGTACATCTAGACAGCAGAGTTGGGCTATTGTTGACAGTTGGGTTCAGCTGTGCTCATCTCTCACAAGCACACACAACATTTTTGACTCCAGATTTTCCCAAAAGACCCAGTGGTGGGTGGGGGCAATGGTAACAGCCCATTGAAACAACCCAACTTTGCTCAAGCTAAGGAACAAATCTGGGATCTTCCGGTCTGTGTTGGCTATATCTAGTGTCATGGTGCAAGAACAAAGGTGCATGTGGTCTCCTTTCAGAGATTTTGCCATAGCAATGTCAGACTTTGCATATTTTGTTGAAATTTGCAGTTTCTATGATTAAAAAAAACTAACTGAAAGACTGACTTATTTCTCGTATATGACTTTTATTTGTTAATTTAAACTAGCCCACTAAATTCATATACAAATTTACAAGTTTGTTCAGTTGATGAGGAAGTACTATATCGATGGCATCAAATAAAAGATGTGGCGACTGGGGAGGAAAAACCCCACCTTGCACGTAAACATCCTGCTGCTTTTGCAATCGTTCATAGCAAACTTGAATTCTTCGAGTTCTGTACTGAGAGATAATCTGTGGACTGGATGTACAGTACATTCAGCTTTACTGCATATTATCAACATAAAAAAATACACACAAACACTTGGACATTGTGTACATACAGGAGTTCAACATACAGGAACTATGATCAGGAAAGGGGCTAGGAAAGAAATATTGGTAGTAGAAACACACAGGACAGCATGAAGGCTTTGTCTATCCAGCCTAGAGTCTGAACCTGCACTACAGCCCTTCTCCCTGTTCACCTCATCAAGGGGAATAATGAGAGAGGCTCACTGTTTCTATAAACTATGTTGATGGTTGCTTGAAGAGGAGGCAAGCTGCAAAAGCTTTTCCATGACATGCCGTGGCCTATTAGGTCCCTTTTCTTTTCATTCAGTAGAAATGGTTGCTCCCTTTGAAATTTGGTATTCTTGTGTCACTCCTGATAAGTGCAAGATAGATAGCTTCAACAACACAACTTTCCATTCCACACTATCCGAGTTTTGTATTACCAAGCAACTATATTTTGATACTTTCCTTTGATTTTTCTCAGCCATTTTCCACAAGCTCTGCCAACAGGAGGCAAAACACAAGAGGTAGAGAGGCTGCTTTTCTTTTGCTTTGTGAAAAATAGGTTGAGGCTCAAGATGTTAGCCCTTTGCACAATCTGAAAGAGATGGTCTGTTCAGGAGGCCAGATATTCACAAGGTGACCGTAACAGGGAGGGTTGCTGTGGGATAATTAGCTTGATGGCCAAATGGTCTCCCTCATTTAAAGATAAGTGTTTTTTTTTTTGTGGACAGCTTTCAGTTTTCAGCTGAAAATTTACCAGGTCAAGTACACATACCAGCCCTAATGTTGGGACAGTCTTGTGATTTGAGTAGTGTAGCAGACTGCCTTCCTTCACCACATCCCAACATTCTCTGTCCTAACAATCACAAATTGCTGGTCAATTTCAGTAACCTGGGTATAGTCATTGGCTCAGGAATGCTAGTAAGGGGATAAAAATGTTTTTGGTAGCTAGCCTGTAATCTTGCTTTACAACTGAATTGGTATCAGATTGAGGAGAGGAATGGTCGGTGATTGACTTCATGACTGAGGCTTCAGTAAGGCAGGGACACTTTAGAAAATTACCAGCAGACCTTGTGTTGGGCTCTCATAATCCGCAACTATTGAAGCAGCAATATATAGGTGCCCAAAAGGTAGAGATTTTGTACTTGCTTATGTTAAAGCTGGAAAGACATACATTGCTAATGCTTTTCATCTTGCACTCATCAGGGCAAAAATCTGAATGCCAAATTTCAAATTAAAATGACAAGAAAGCAAACTGATTGGCCCATGCAAAGCCAGGGTGAAAGCATCAAGAACCTAACAGGTCCTGGGTAATTTAGAAAAGATGCAAGTCTTCAATCTCTTCCTTCTTCCAAAGTGACCTATTCATACACGGTTCAAGTCTTGTACTTTTTCTGAATTACCCTGGAGCTTGCTTTTGGCTACTTTCTCCATGGGGCAGTGCCCCAGCCAATCAGAGTCAACTTGCCAACCAATCAGCCATCTTTTTACCTGCACTATAAATTGTTGCCATCGTTTGAAATTTGGCATTTTTGCTATGTACTGAGTGCATGATGAAAGGCTTTGGCAAAATGTCTCCTTTTTTGACAAGTTCTTTATGACCAAGTGACTGTATATTAAAGTTCTTGCTTCTAACTCAATGGAAGGTGACCTCTGCATCTCTTGGCTGATACATTTAACAATTTTGCCTGGATTTTTATAATTCCCGTCTTGAAAGAAGATTAGTCATAGTGTAAATCCAACATGATGCTACCTGTTCCCTGCCACAGGGCAAGAGTTAAAATCAATCCCCTTACCTTTACCTGTCTTGATCTCTAGCTCATCCCTGTCAATTTCTCTCAGTCCAGTTCTAACCCCTGTGTGTTGAACAGGTTGAAAATAACTTCCTGGAGCTCCCACGTTTTGAAGAGACAATCTAAATGAATGGCCACCTCCTGATCCTAAGCACTGCACCAGAGCCAAACTCATTTCTAGCCCCAATTCCTGTGATTCGTCACCATATCTTACATTCTGGTCTAGAACACAAAGAGGTCAGAGATGAGGCCCAATGTTCCAATATAAACAGTATGTATTCTAAAGACATTCGGAATGCTGAGCTGCAGGACATACCCATCGCTGTATTATAAATAATGGAGGCATCCCAGGTTCATTTGTAATGGGAAGCTTGTCCACAATTGTGGCAGAAGCAGAGCAGAAAGTAAAGTCGCCCCTGGACAACGACGTAAACACAACATTCTGGGAGTGAGTTTCTCCACAATCAGTGGCCCAAAGCCAGGATGGAGAAGGCGGTTAACCGTTGAAGTGTTTCATGAGTTTTCAAACAAGAATTTTTACTTGAACTTTCAAAGCCGTTGAATTAATAATAGTATTGAACGACAGTTTGTGCTTCGGTTGTGCTGGGTCATATAAGTCTCTCGTGTGGGCGATAGGTGCATAAAACAGGACTAGTTCTAGCAGCCTGCTGTGTCGACAATAAAGTGGGAAATAACGGTGTAAAACTACTCGCTTTTCCTTTGACTGTTATCTGAACCGATCCGATCCACAAGGCTACAAAGTGCTGGATGCAAATTGGACAAGGATTCCGCTAAGTTTCCTGGCTGGATCCGCTTTGGATCTGAGTGGTAAGCGGTTTTCCCTCGCAACCCACATTCCCGTCTTCCAGTGGGAAGGTGCATGGAGTTTGCATGGAGTATGTTTTGTAGAGGCATAAAGCCTTGAAACCATCAGTCCCCGTTGATATACTGGGTTGAATACAGTTACTGTGGAAATAGGTCCCACGATTTCCTGAAGCAAATATGAGCATCATGGGTAAATTAACTCAGAAGGCAGAAGCCTGAACCTCAGGTCACGGCCCTTAAATCTTTAAATAATAAAATGAAATGGGACTATAGAGGTCGTATTCAGTTCCATTTTTCCTTCATGTTTAAAGGTATTTACATCCTCACAAACATTGTGTGAGATGCCTCATTTTCCAAAAGTTTTTTTTCTTTTTTTTTCCCTTTTTTTTACGGTTGACTTTGTGTGCCATTGGAAGATAAAAGCTTGGGTTTCTCTTTCAAGGAGGATGAATGTTTGGAGTCACCTCGTTTGAAATGCTCCACAGACTCTGAATCGTTCCACGCTCTGGGCATGCTTTGGGCCCCTCGGATTGGAGTTCCTGAAGGATGACTAACTTGGCCATTTTTTTCATCTTTTAAAACAAAAACAGGCAGAGAGAGAGAGAGAGAAAAAGTAAAAAGTAAAATGGCAAGATAAGATTGGCTGTCATTTCAACTCTCCACATTCCTCCCACTCTAACCTTTCTGTCCATGACCTGCTTTTAGTTCCAGTGAATCACAGAATCCCTACGGTGTGGAAGTAGACTATTTGGCCCATCGAGTCCACACCAACCCTCCAAACAGCATCCCAACCAGACCCACTCTCCTACCGTGGCTAACCCACCCAACCTGCACATCCCTGGACACTACAGGCCAATTTCCCATGGCCAATCCACCTAAACTGAATCTTTGGACTGTGGGAGGAAACCAGAGCACCTGGAGGAAACTCACACAGACATGGGGAGAACACGCAAACTCCACACAGATGGTCGCTCGAGGGTGGAATCAAACGTGGGTCCTTAGTGCTGTAAGGCAGCGGTGGTAACCACTGAGTCACTATGCCACCCATTGAACCTCAATGCAAATTTCAGGAAGAACACCTCATTATCCAATCAGACATTCTACAGCATTCTGAACTTGCACTGCATTCAAAATTTAAATTCTATGCTATCCTCTCTCCACTCCTCCCCATTTTGTTTGGTTTTGCTTTTTCTTTGTTTGTTTCTTTACTTCTTCACTTTGCATCCAGACTGCTCCTGCCTTGCCATTTGCACCTCATCCAGACATGCTGCTTCTTTACCCACTGTCACTCCTTTTATATTTTGTCCCATTTAAGATCTCTCGCTCTCCACCCTACCATGGTCCTTTCCTTTTGCTGTAATAAAATGAAGAACTGTGGATGCTGGAAATCTGAAACAAAAACAGAAATTGCTGGAAAAGCTCAGCAGGTCTGGCAGCATCTGTGGAGAGAAAGCAGAGTTAATGTTTTGGGTTCTGAGGAAGGGTCTCTCGACCTGTAATGTTAACTCTGATTTCTCTCCACAGGTGCTGCTTTTCCAGCAATAACGCAGTGTGGAGCTGGAGGAACACAGCAGGCCAGGCAGCATCAGAGAAACAGGAAAGTTGACGTTTCGGGTCGGGACCCTTCTTCAGAACTGGGGAGGGGAAAGGGAGCTGGGAAATAAATAGAGAGGAGGGGTGGGGCTGGGGAATGTAGGTGGGATGGTGATAGGTGAGTACACAGAGGGAGTGGTGGGGTTGGTCAATTAGGTTGGGGGGGGAGGGAGCCGATAGATGGGAGAGAAGATGGACAGGTTGTCCATCACCATCCCATCTACCTTCCCCAGCCCCACCCATCCTCTCTCTATTTATTTCCAAATTCCCTTCCCCCTCCCCATTTCTGAAGAAGGGTCCCAACCCGAAACATCAGCTTTCCTGCTCCTCTGATGCTGCCTGGCCTGCTGTGTTTGTCCAGCTCCACACTGTGTTATCTCTGACTCCAGCATCTGCAGTTCTTACTACCTCTGAGCTTTTCCAGCAATTTCTGTTTTTGTTTGTGACCCTTCTTCAGACTCACTGTTGCCTGTTACCTAACACACCAAGTTGCATTCACCCACGACCCCAGAGTGACATAGGCTCCCAGTTAAGAAACAGCATGATTTTGGAATTAACATGCTCTTCTTCAAATCCCTCTTTGTCCCCTTCTCCATCTGTCTGTAATCTCCTCCAGAACCCCTTTCCTCCAAGATATGTCTTCTAGTTCTGGCCTCCTAAGAACATAAATAGGAGCAGGAGTAGGCCAGCTGGCCCATCGAACCTGCTCTGCCATTCAATAAGATCATGGCTGATCTTTTCATGGACTCAGCTCCACTTACCTGCCTGCTCTCCATAACCCTTAACTCCTTTACTGTTCCAAAGTTTATCTTTGCTTTAAAAACATTCAACAAAGTAGCCTCAACTGCTTCATGGGCAGGGAATTCCACAGATTCACAACCCTTTGGGTGAAGAAGTTTCTCCTCAATTCAGTCCTAAACCTGCTCCCCCTTATTTTGAGGCTATGACCCTAGTTCTGGTTTCACCTGCCAGTGGAAACAACCTCCCTGCTTCTATCTTATCTACTCCCTTCGTAATAGTATATGTTTCTGTAAGATACCCGTCAATCTTCTAAATTCGAAAGAGTATAGTCCCACTCTACTCAATCCCTCATAAGCCACCCTCTCAACTCCAGAATTAACCTAGCGAATCTCCTCAGCACCCCCTCCAGTGCCAGTACATTCTTTCTCAAGTAAGTAGACCAAAACTGTACCCAGTACTCCAGGTGTGGCCTCACCAGCACCCTATACAGCTGTAACATAACCACCCTGTTTTTAAAATTCCATTTCTCTAGCAATGAAGGAAAATATTCCATTTGCCTTCTTAATTACCTGCTGCACCTGCAAACCAACTTTTTGTGATTTATTACCCAGTTTTTGACTGTTGTACCATTGGAGGCTGTGCCTGGAACTCTGGAATTACTCTCCATCTCTCTTTCTCCCCTACCTCCACAGGGATGCTTCTTAAAAGCTATGTTTGTTTCCTCCGCAGCTGTAGGGAGGAGAGCTCCCTCACACTCTATGCAGTCACAGTATGCACATGCCATGTCAAAGCCAGCAGCGCTGTAGGACGAAGGGTAATCATATCATCCTTCAGCTTTTATTACATCAAGGCAGCCTCATGTGCCTGAAGTGACTCACAAAGCCATTCACAAAGGACAGCGCTCAGAAAGAGCCCTCAGTGCCTCGTCTATCTCCTCACTCACCACCCCACTCCCTGAACAAAATGGGAAGCCAGGAAATGGTCATGCTTGTGGCCACATGGACAGTCGGGGTGAAGGTCATCAGAGTGGTGAGGCAGGGGCAATAACAGAGTGCAAGCTACTCCCAGCTCAGGTCAATGGGTGCACAACAATGACATCTCCAGTGCCCAGTACCTGTTCAGGGGCATTGGCAGGAGATATGCCTGCTTAAAACTGCTCCTTCGATCAAACCTTTGACCATCTGCCCTATTATCAGCTTGGTGGTGTTCTAGTGGTCCTGAAGAATACTGGGAAGGTTTACTACCACACAGGTGCTACGTAAATGCAAGATGTGGTTGTCTGGATGACCATGAAACGGGACAGGTGTAACTCATCCGGGACATTTTACAGGTTCAGTTGGGGGAGCTTTTGAACTGTTTTGAGTGTACTCCTCAGGCACAGTTCTGACAGTACATTGGACAATGCCTGTAATCTCCGAAATCCCGTTAATATCATTAATGTGGCAGGCACAACTGAATTAAACATGGATTCTACAGGCTGGGATCATCAGGTTCTCCCTGTGTCAATGCTTCCTGCCAGTTCTCAGTTTCTGTTCTGCCACTCCTCAGCTGGGACACGACATTGTCCCTCTGACAGACTAAATCTGTAGCAGTTCAGCACACACGCCTAACATACGCCACTGCAACTCGCTGTTACTAAGGACACTCCTTTCCCAGCATTGCTAACTGTCTTTTCAACTGATATCCAACTGTCCCTTTGCAGATCACATTCCCAAAACAGCCAGTTTATGCACAGTACTCATACACAAACATGCACGATCATACACAATGTGAAGGTACGGATTACCTACCTGCAAGTGCCTGAACCAAGGGTTGATCGTGGGCACTTAATAACTGTGCTTGGATCGTTTCCACAACTCTCTTAAACCTGCGACTGGGCCCTGGTGGACAGAAAGAGCCTGTTAGCTGTGAATGTCATATGGACAGTGATTAAGGTCCCGGCCTAGCAACCAGATACAAGTTCGAATCTGACTGCGGCCATTTGTGATTCAAGTAAATCCGGTCATTTGCGAGACAGAGACTGGAGTTCAACGGAAATCCCCGGAACTGCTGCATTTAATTCACTCATGTTTTACAGGTGTAGGGGAAGGGAGGTTGCACTTTCTCGGAGCTAATTACTGCCGATGCCAGAGTCTGCTCTGAAAACAAAATAGGCTGCAGGCCAGGCGGCATCTTTGAAGAGAGAGCAAGCTAACGTTTCGAGTCTAGATGACTCTTCATCAGAGTCGTGAGGCATTTCCTACCTGACCTGGTGCATACAGTACGGAAACAAGAACTGTAATATTTACCTTTTAAATTTATTTCTTTATTTTCCTAATTCATACGACGAAGAACTGTCATGTAGGACTTTTAACAGTTTTCTTTATTTCTCTATTTTTGTAACTAATCTACTTTAGTACCTAAGATTTTCTACCTCGGTACCTTGCACCTAAGATGTTGCCATTTGTGGTGACATTGTACACTTTTCACTGCACTTCTGTACTTCTGTACAGGCGACAAAAAAATCTAATTCTTCTCCAGCTTGTCCATGTACTCCCATGCAGTTGGCAATTTTCTCTGGAAGTTCCAACTGATGCCCAGGGTCTTTTCCGGGTGTGCATTTCTATCTCCCTCTGAGGGAACCCTGTTTCTTGAGGAACTTCCCAGATATTCCAGCTGCCAACTGTCACCTGGGCTTCTTGAAGATCCTTTGACATCGTTTCGCTGTATCTACATTCGTTTAATATCTAAAACCCCTCAACCAGATCACTCCTCATTCATCTGCCCTCAAGGGAATGCAAGCTGATACCTGTATGAGGTGCGGGTGGGGGCAAGAAACCGTGCCAGAGTGGAGATGTCTCTAGACCATGAATCCAGAGGCGCAACCTAATGCTCTGGGACAGGAGTTCAAATCCCGCTGCAACAGCTAATGGAATTTAAAGTTGATGAATAAACATGGAATATAAAGCTAGTCTCAGTAACAGTGACCATGACAACACAATTATTGTTTAAAAAAAAACCCCATCTGGTTCACTAATGGGAGAAAACCTGCCGTCCTTACCCAGTCTGGCCTACATATGTCTCCAGTGCCCTGTAAACGTGGTCAACTCCTAACTGCTCTCTAACAAGTCAAGAACTTTTAGGGATGGGCAACAAATGCTGTCCTTGCCAGTGAAACAAAAACGCCTCAGAATTTAACTCTCTCAGGATCAATCTGGGGAAATCTGCACCAAAACCCCAAACTCTTCTTGAGATATTTTCACAGCACTATTCTGTCTCCTGCACACAGCAAAAAAAAGTAACAAAAACAGCTATTGCTGGAAAAGCTCAGCAGGTCTGGCAGCATCTGTGGAGAGAAATCAGGTCAAAAGTCACACAACACCAGGTTTATTTGAAATCACAAGCTTTCGGAGCGCCGCTCCTTCGCTAGTACCTGAAAGCTTGCGATTTCAAATAAACCAGTTGGACTATAACCTGGTGTCGTGTGATTTTTGACCTTTATCCACCCCAGCCCAACACCAGCACCTCCACGTCATGGAGAAATCAGAGTTAACGTTTCAGGTCCGGTAACCCTTCCTCAGAACAAAATAAAGTCCTAACTGGAATTTCTCAGCAAATGACGTTACCTGGGAGATGCCGCAGAGTCTCTCACCTGACATTAATGTGAACGTGACAGAATAAATTCCGTTCTCTTTCTGTGCTTCGCTCCCCTCTGCGTATGTGATATCCACTTGGAACTTCACAGGTTTTTGGAAGACGGTTGGACCTCCGACCGATTTGTACTCTGCACGGAAACTCGTCTGTGAGATGACGCTGTGACTCAAACTGGGTATCTGGAGGAATGCAGAAGTCATTGGAACCTATATTCCTTCTCCACACCAACCAAATGACCCAGTCCACCTCTTATTGGAGTAAGGTCCCACTGGACCCAAAAACACTCCCTGGGCCTGAGACTGAAAGGTGGCTACTTCTTACATGCAGGAAGGCCAATGCTTTGTGTGCTCTTAATTAGGCCAGCACTGTCCACCCCAGAAAATTACGGTGGCTCAGTGGTTAGCACTGCTGCCTCACTGTGCCAGAGACCCAGGTTCGATTCCACCCTCGGGTGACTGTCTGTGTGGAGTTTGCACATTCTCCCCGTGTCTGCGTGGGTTTCCTCCCACAGTCCAAAGATATGCAGGCTAGGTGGATTGGCCATGCTAAATTGCCCATAGTGCCCAGGGATGTGTAGATTAAGTGGGTTATAGGGGGATGGGTCTGGGTGGGATGCTCCAAGGGTCAGTGTGGACTTGTTGGGCCAAAGGGCCTGTTTCCACACTGTAGGGATACTATTCTATGATACCTTCTGCCCAGCAACTCCCAAAGTTAGCCATATTTTCAACACTGTCAGACAGCAGAACTCCAGGTCTATCAAAGAGATGCCAACAGCAGTTACAGGTATTCCTGGAGGGTTCTATCACATGACTGCCTGCCTCCAATCACCCTACACTTACATTCACACCATTGGTCGTCCTGCATGTCAATCCTCTCAATATAGCCAATCGGAAAGCAAAATCACATTTTCTTATCCAATTAGATAATCGCTGACAGTCACAATTAAGAATCTCTTATCTCCAATACTTTCAGAATTCATAAACAAGAGGGATCAAAGAAAATGTACAAAGCAATTATATTTTAATGTCCCTTTTGTCTTTTCTCCCGGGTTTCCTTCCAATAATGCTCCAGAGGTTACTCCACAATCCCTGCACAATCCTACAACATTGGTAATCATCACAGTGTCAAGAGGAGCCTCCTTTAATGAAGTGAATTTGGTGGATGATGGGATACAGCTTGCTGTTGGACAGGATGGCTTTGGAACCCAAGGTCAGTGTGTCCCTACAGCACAATACTCTCAACATCTAACCCACTTGTACACACCACCACACCTACCACCACCCCACACACCCACCCTCACATACACTCCCAAAAGCCATCCACACACACACCCAGACCCCCACGCACATGCCTACACACACCACCACCTTGCACACACACCCCCAGACCCACATTCCCCCATCCCCACACATATACACAACCCCAACCCCACACACCTCCCCACCCTCACAGACACACTCCCACCCCCATATACACTCCCAAAACCCCTCCACACACACACATACTCAGACCCCCATGCACATGCCTACACACACCACCACCCCTGTACATACACACACCCGCATCTAAATGCACACCACCACCCCGCACACACCCCCAGACCCACATTCCCCCACACCCACACATATACCCAACCCCAACCACACACTCCCAATTCCCCTCACACACAACCCCAAACCCACACACTCCCAGATCCACACACACATCCCCCAGACCCGCATATACATACATCTGCATCTAAATACACAAATACCTACACACACTACCACCCATACTCCCAATCCCACACACACCCCTACACATACACACCCACCCAGACACATCTAGATACACACCCATGCGCACACCCACACAGATCACCTCCCCTCCCGCACCCCATACACACCAGGGTGGAATCGTTAGACTCTGCACCCAGCTTGAAACAGTGGAATTTCTAGGAGACAGTAGCCAGGGTACAATCTAGGCCATTCAGACCTTTGAACCTAGTCCACCAATTAGTGAGATCATGCCTCATCTGATTGTAACCACCGTTCCCTCGAATTTTCTATCCTTCTGCACAGACCCCGGAGATCTGTGCACAGCAGGTGAATTCCGGAACTGGAAATGAATGTTGTGATCCACAACAGCCTGTTTATCAGAGCGGGTGCACATGCAGCTTAGAGGGAACATTATTGTAACTTCAACTCCACACTCCCCACTAGCGCTGGTATTTATTCAGCTCGTTATCAAGCACCTATCTACCTCCGCCTTGAAAATATTCAGTCTTTGGTAATCTCTTCCTTAAAAGGTGCTGGAAACAAAGACTCATTGTCCCTTCAGAGATAAAAGAAAAACTCCTCATCTTTGTCTTAAATGAGCCACTCCTTATTTTGAAACAGTGAAGCCTGGTTTTAGAATCTCCCATGAGAGGAAACATCCTCTCCACATCCAACCCTATCAATATCCCATCGGGAGTTTGTATGTTTTAGTCAAGTCACCCCTTACACTTCTAAACGCCAATGTATAGAAACACAGAAAGTTTGAGAAGATTTGTAGCTCAGGTTGTGGATGGGGTTGTTGACTCGCTCACTGAGCTGGTGGGTTTGGTTGCAAACGTTTCATTATCCTACTAGGTAACATCGTCAGTGCGCCTCCAGTAAAGTGTCGGTGTTCTGTCCCACTTGTTATTTAAATGCCTCAGTTTGTTGGGGTGTTTGGTACCACTTCCAGTTCTGTTTCTCAGTGGTTTGTACACAGGGTCTGATTCAATGTGTTTGATGGAGTTCCAGTTAGAATACCAGGCCTCCAGGAATTCCCTGATGTGTCTCTGGCTTGTGCGATTATTGATGTGTTATCCCTGTTGAATTTGTGTCTCTCGTTGTCCGTGTGTCGTGAGACAAGTGAGAATTCATAGAATCCCTACAGTGTGGAAACAGGCCGTTCGGCCCAACAAGTCCACACCGCCCCTCTGAAGAGCATCCCACCCAGACTCATTCCCCTAATTTCCCATGTCTAACCCACCTAACCTAAACATCCCTGGGTACTATGGGCAATTTAGCATGGCCAATCCATCTAGCCTGCACATCTTTGGACTGTGGGAGGAAACCCACGCAGACACGGTGAGAATGTGCAAACTCCACACAGACAGTCACCCGAGGCTAGTCTCTTGGTGACTAGTTGGTGGTTGTGTATCTGTATTATCAGTTTTCTTCCAGTTTGGCCTATGTAGTGTTTCTCACAGTCCTTGCATGTGTTTTGTATATTACACCAGTTTTGCTGGTTTTGGGTACAAATGTAAAGAATCCCATACGCAAAAACCAGCAAAACTGGAGTAATAACCCAGCCCGAGCACTGTGAGCCCCAGTTAGTGAACTCTGACCTACACACCTCCCCAACCCTAACTTGCCTTGACCTGGAGATAGTAAGAACTGCCGATGCCAATCAGAGGTAACACAGTGTGGAGCCGGAGGAACACAGCAGACCAGGCAGCATCAGAGCAGGAAAAGCTGACGTTTCAGGTCGGGACAACAAGGTGCAAGGCTGGATGAACACAGCAGGCCAAGCAGCATCATAGGAGCAGAGAGGCTTCTCTTCTTCAGGAAAACCCGACCCGAAACGTCAACTTTCCTGCTCCTCTGATGCTGCCTGGCCTGCTGTGTTCCTCCAGCTGCACGCTGTTATTCCCTTGGCCTGGTGTCTGTGCTCCCATGCCCTGGTTAGCCCACATCGGCGGGGTGCTAGACTCTTCATAGCTGAAAACGATGCTAAATATAGACAAACTGGTTTCAGAGGAAGAAATAGTTAGGATCTCACCGAGAGGAAGGCGTGCACAATGTCTGCTTTGATAGAGCTCAGAGGCTTGTCTCTAATGACGACGAATATTTGTTCCTCTTTGTCCAGGTTAATGAAGTTTCCAAACCATGACTTCTTAGCGAGTCTGTGGAGAAAGAAAGAGAGAGAGAGACAACTTGCTTTACTCAGCAAAGACATTGAGAATGAGGCTGCTCCAGAGGTGAACAGCAGCAGAGACAGAAAGTCTAGATAGGGCAGCAAGTACACTCTCCTCAGGAATGGCACGCTCTTCCTAAACGTTTCCCCATTTTAATGCCCCTGGCTTTGTTTGTGATCCCAGAGTGAAACAATCAGAGGCAGGGCGGGATACGAAAGCTGTTTTTGCG